CACCCATTGTAAATTCCCATCAACTAGCTCCTTTATACACTCTTGGTTCTCCTCTTCTATCAGCACAAGATTACCTCCCATTGGGGTTATTTTGATCGAAGGAAATCCTTCATTGAAGAATATCTCTGGCAGATTTGATGTGATGGAAGGAGATAGAGCCACCCCTACAGCACACTTCATTAGATTTTCTTCATTCTCCTCTGTCCCTTTTATCTCGATCACTTTTTTGTATTTGAATCCTCCAGGAACCATAGCCTTAGTCGTTGCTCTACTTGAGTTCCTCATGTAGTTTCTTGCCTCTGATGGTGTGGGACCTTTAAGATCAATATTGCTGGTGATTGCCTTCTCTTTTTGCTGTATAAGACTTTGTGCATATGTCTTCTTTGGTGCTATCCTGTTTTCTTCATCAACCGTAGTGCTTTCATCATAACTGGTCCTCTTTTTGCTACTCTTCCTTCTTACTTCCTCTGCTGATTTTGCTTGCCATCTGCGTTTCTCTTCTCCTTTTTCCACAACTGGGTTGAAGATCACCTTTCTATTTCCAATCCATATACTTTCCAATTGCTTCCTCATCTCTTGACCATGTCTGACATCCAGAAATCTGGCAAAACCATATCTATTTCCTCTTCTATCCCTCTTATTCGGAATGAATATATCCCAGAGCCTACCTGCTTTCACTGTCTTCCTCATGAAGTAGAACAGCTCCTTCGCTCCCCACTCCTCAGGAAAGTTTATGAAATGGTAGGACTCACACTGTTTCAGTAAACCTTTGTCAAAAGCTGGCATTCTGTTAGCGAAGTCCTTGTAGCCGGTCGCCGATTTGCCATTGCTGAGGCGTCTCCTGTCTCCCCGTTCAAACTTCATTTCCTGCAAAAAAGTCACTAAAGCAACTGAAATATTGATTCCATTTTTTGAACAGAACAAACAAAAAGGCTTCAAACTTGAGAAATAGACAATTCTCTCTCTTTCATGTACGTAGCGGTGTATCCACAATCTATGGAGACCTGAAAAGAAAGAAAGAAAGAAAGAAAAGAGGTGGAAATTGATTTTGTTCGTGTTTTTGGAGAAATTAATTTCCAAATTTCAAATCTAGAAGTTAATTTCTGAAAAATCAAGTCCAGTTTTTTTTCTTTTTTATTTTATATTTTATTTTTAATCGAAGTTTATCTTTGTTGACTCATTTTTTATAGGGTGTCTAAACAACTTAAAATACAAAAAATAATTTTTAAAAATCATTTTTTAATCAATCAAATGAACTCTAGAACTCAGTTTATAATTTATGTAGTCACCATATG